TGCTCAGTTATGTGCGAGGGTCATCCCCCGACTGCTGTGGCTGTGCTTCCTCCCTCAGCCCCGCTGGTGGCCCTCCCAGTGCCTCCTGTGTACACGGACATTGGGTCGGTCCCGTCTTTGTACAGTTCTAAACTGCCTGCATGTTTCCATTACCCATGTCTTCCCAACACTGGGGGGGTAGGGAGGGGTGGAGCACTGCGTGGTGGTGCAGTCCAGTCACCACAATAACTGTGAGGCCGGTGCCCTCTGGTTTCTGGGTCAGCCACATAGGCTCCCCCTCTTGCAGTGCTGTTTCCTGTTTTTCACTTGGGTTTTGTCTTTTTCTTATCTCTTATTGAAGGAATTCTTTATATTTTAGACAGTAACACTTTACCATTTTTGTTAATTGCAAATGGCCCTGAGTTTATGGCTTGGTTTTTTGGTTTGTCTGTTTGCTTCTGTTCTCTTGTGTTGTCCTTTAGTAGACAGGAGTTCTTTTCTTTTTTGCAGTACGCGGGCCTCTCACCGCTGTGGCCTCTCCCGTTGCGGAGCACAGGCTCCGGACGCGCAGGCCCAGCGGCCATGGCTCACGGGCCCAGCCGCTCCGCGGCACGCGGGATCCCCCCGGACCAGGGCACGAACTCATGTCCCCTGCATCGGCAGGTGGACTCTCAACCACTGCGCCACCAGGGAAGCCCAGGAGTTCTTTATTTTGAAGTGGTCACTGTTCAGTCTTTCCTTAGGATGTGGGCATTTTGTATCTTCTTTAAGAAGACTTTCCTTATGCCAGGATTACAGAAGTATTCCACTATGTGTTCTTTCAAAAGTGTATTTTTGTCTATTAATTTGGGTCTTTAATCTACCTGGAACTGATTTTTGCACATACTGTTAGGTAGGGGTTCAAATTCTTTTTTCTTTTTTTTTTTTTTTCAAATGGATACCATTACCATTTAATGCCAGCTTTGGACTCGTCAGGTTTCCTTAGTGAGTGTGTATGTTTCTGAGCTCTCTGTTCTGTTCCATGGGTCTCCCTCTGTGCCCGTAAACTTTTTCTTTTCTTAATAAATTTATTATTTTTTAAAATTTTTGGCTGTGTTGTGTCTTCGTTGCTGCACGAGGGCTTTCTCTAGTTGCAGCGAGCAGCAGCGAGCAGTGGCTTCTCTTGTTGTGGAGCATGGGCTCCAGGCACGCGGGCTCAGTAGTTGTATGTACCTAGATACCAACTTGATTTTAATCATTTTTATTATTATATAGATCCAAAACTGTAGTTATAAAAGAAGTAGAATTAAAAGAAATATGATATCGGGCTTCCCTGGTGGCACAGTGGTTGAGAATCTGCCTGCTAATGCAGGGGACACGGGTTCGAGCCCTTGTCTGGGAGGATCCCACATGCTGCAGAACAACTAGGCCCGTGAGCCACAACTACTGAGCCTGTGTGTCTGGAGCCTGTGCTCTGCAACAAGAGAGGCCGCGATAGTGAGAGGCCCGCGCACTGCGATGAAGAGTGGCCCCCGCTCGCCGTAGCTAGAGAAAGCCCTCGCACAGAAACGAAGACCCAACACAGCAAAAATAAATAAATTAATTAATAAACTCCTACCCCCAACATCTTCTTTAAAAAAAAAAAAAAGAAATATGATGTCATGAACCACCAGCCGTCTCAGTAGTAGACCAGGGCTCAAACCCGTGTCCCCTGCATTGGCAGGAGGATTCTTAATCACTGCACTACCAGGGAAGCCCCCGTAAACTATTTTAATGAGTATAGGTTTTCAGTGATTCTTGACGTTTGGGAAGGCAGGTTTCCCTCCTTTGTTCTTTTTGGTCCTTTGATCTTCCATGAAAATATTAAATCAACTTGCCAATCAGTGGATTAATGGGGGGAGACTCAACATCTTTATATTGTTGAGTTTCCAAACTATGCTCTTTTTAAGCGTTTATCAATAGTATTTTATAATTTCATAAAGGTTTATATATATATATTTTTTGGGGGGGCTGTGTTGGGTATTCGTTGCCGTGTGCAGGCTTTCTCTAGTTGCGGCGAGCGGGGGCTACTCTTCATTGCAGTGCGCAGGCTTCTCACTGCGGTGGCTTCTCTTGTTGTGGAGCACAGGCTCTAGGCTTGCGGGCTTCAGTAGTTGTGGCACGTGGGCTCTAGAGCGCAGGCTCAGTAGTTGTGGCCCATGGGCTTAGTTGCTCCGCGGCATGTGGGATCTTCCCAGACCAGGGCTCGAACCCGTGTCCCCTGCATTGGCAGGTGGATTCTTAACCACTGCACCAACAGGGAAGCCCGATACTTTATATTTTTTGATGTTGTTAAAAACGTTTGCTATAAAAAATATATTTTGCAAGTTTTTATCAGGGTATATGGCAAGGCAGTTGATTTTTGTACACTTATTTTATGTCTACTAATTTTGCTATTCTCTTATTGATTCTAATGATTTGTACATATTTTAAAACTTTCTTAACAGACTACCACTTGGTGTGCAAATCATGGCAGTTTTATTTCTTTCCTTCCCATCTTGTTGTGTTTACTGTTCATATCTTACTGTGCCTCCAACGCCTCCCAGAGCGTGGAGTGGTGACTGCATGTCCTTATCTCACCCCTCATTTCGAAGGGAGTGCCTCCTGTGCGTCAGTGTATGATGTTTGGTATAGATATTTGTAAAAAGAATAAAAAATAAGAAAACCCCTTATCGGATTAAAAAAGTGCCCTTCTATTCCTAGTTTATTTTTTCAAATCATGAATAGATGTTGCTTTTCCCCAAGCCATTATGTGTGTGTGTGTTAGATGACGGTATGATTTTTCTCCTTTAAACTGGAAATGCATTGAAAGGTATATGATTTTCTAATATTAAATATACCTTTCCTTTGTGGGATAACCTAGTGTGCCTTTATCAATATGTGTTTCATACAGGGGTTAATTCTGTTGTTGGTATTGTGTTTAGTATTTTTACATCTGTGTTCATGAGTGAGATTGGCTTGGAATATTTCTTTCTCTTGTTGTCTTTGGATAATCAGTGTAACTGTGGCCTCAGAAAATAAGTTGAGGGAGTGCTCCACTTCGATACACAGGGATTGTTTTTGTGAGATTTGAAGTACATGTTGTCTGAATGTTGGGTGAAGCTTACAAATCAAGCTGTCGGGCTGGTATTTTGTATGTGGAGAGAGACCTTTGACTACCTATTTAGTTTC